CTCAGTGGCTGCCCCATGCCTGTCCTTCCTCAGTGCCTCCCCCATCCCCGTCTTTTCTCAGTGTCTCCCCCATCCCTGATCTTCTTCGGTCAGTGGCTCCAGATTCGCCTTAGCTGAATCTCTCCGATGGTTCCTGCTGAGAAATGGCACTCCATCAAGGGATGTTCTGACTAGTTTTTATGTCAACTTAACACTAGCTAGAGTCACAAGTGGGAACCTCCATTGAGAAAATGTGTCCACCGGATTGGCATGTGGGAAAGCCTGTGGATCATTTTCTTGATTAATGATTGACATGGGAGGATCATTGACGTGAGGGTGGTGCCACCACTGGGTGGGTGGTCCTAGATGGTGTAAGAAAGTAGGTGGAGCAAACCATCGGGGAGCAAGCCAATAAGCAGTGTTCCTCCGTGGCCTCTACATCAGTTCCTGCCTCCAGGCTCCTGATTTGCGTTCTTGCCCTGACTTCCCTGGATGAAGGACTACAAGATGTAAGCTTCAGTAAACCCTTTTCTCCCAGTTGCTTTTGGTCATGGTGCTTTTATCTTAGCAATAGAAGCCCTAAGACAGGGAACATCTACAGTGCTAGTTTGCAGGGACACCATGTCTTGTCAGGGCCCCATCTTGATTCTGACTCAGGTCTAGGTTTTGTTACTTGAGTTCCCGTGTGATGGGAATGCTATGACCTAGGGGCCATGCTCCGGGGTTGCTGTCTGTGTTCCACCGTCCAATGGAAGTATGTGACCTATGGAGGCAATTCGATTTCCAGAGGCCGTGTTAAAGCAGCAAAATATTTTTTAGTCTTTGATTAAAAAATATTTTACCAGCTGGGCGGTTGTGGTGCATGTCTTTAATCCCAGCACTTAGAAGGCAGAGTCAGCATGGTCTACAGCGTGAGTTCCAGGGCAGCCAGGGCTACACAAAGAAACCCTCAAAACAAAGAGCAAACAAACAAACAACCAAAAATCCTCACAAAAATATTATTTTATGTGTGTTGGTGTTTTGCATGCATGGAAGTCTGTGCACCGTGTTCGTGCCTCGTTTCTGCTGAGGCAAGAAGAGGGCATCAGGTCCCCTGGAACTGGAGTTATGGGTGGTTATGAGCTACCATGTGGGTGCTGGGAATCAAACCTGCATCATCCAGAAGGACATTCAGTGCTCTTAACTGCCGAGCCATCTCTCCAGCCCCCCTTCATTTCAAAATATTTTATTTAATCCAACATATCCAAAATATTTTAACAGGTAGCCAATATAAAATACCAGGGCTGGAGAGATGGCTCTATTGGTAGTGGCTTATAAACAGGAGAACCTGCGTTTGATCCCCCAGAACTCTTGTAAATATACATGGACACTCATATACAAATACATACTTAAATACTAATGACTTAAGAATAACTTCTTTTTTAAGATTTATTTGTTAATTATGTATACAGCATCTGTCTGCATGTATCCCTGCAGGCCAGAAGAGGGTACCAGATCTCATTATAGATGGTTGTGAGCCACCATGTGGTTGCTGGGAATTGAACTCAGGACCTCTGGAAGAACAGTCAGCGCTCTTAACCTCTGAGCCATCTCTCAGCCCCAAGAATAACTTCTAAAGGGCTTGGCATAGTGGCATACACTTGAAATTCCAGCAATGGTGAGATGGAAGTTGGAGACTGGCAAACCCTTGGTAGCTCAATGGCCAGCTAACCTGGGCTACTTGATAAAGTTCCAGGCCAATGAGGAAGCTTGTCTCGGAAAACAAGATGAGGTGAGAATGCATAGCTAAGCCTGTCTTCTTGATCTCCAAATGTGTGGGCACACAAGAAAAGTATTAGTGACTTAAAAACAACTTCAGCCAGACGGGAAAGGTGACTCAGCAGTTAAGAGTTCTTACCGCACAAGGACTGTGGTTAGATCCCAGCACCCACCCAACACACCAGGTATTCTGTTCACACCTATAACCCAGCTCCAAGGGGGAGGAGACACAAGCCAGGTATCCTGTTCATACCTGTGACCCAGCTCCAAGGGGGAACAGAGACAGGATTGTTGGTGATTGCTGGCTTGTAGCCGGCTTTCTTTTGGGCCCCCAATCAGCTCCCAAATCATGACACGAAGACTTACTATTAGTTACGAATGCTCGGCCGTAGCTTAGGCTCATTTCTTGCTGGTTCTTATAATTTCATTTAACCTGTTTTTCGTCATCTATGCTTCTATTTTTGCCTTGGGGCTTTTTTACCTTTCTTTCATTATGTATGTTCTACCCTGTGTCTGGCTGGCTGCCGCCTGGCTGGCCCTGAGCTCCTCCCTCTTTCTCCGTTGTTCTCTCTTCTCTTATTCTCCCTGCCTGCCAGCTCCACCTGTCCCTCTACTGCTTAGCTATTGGCTGTTCGTTTTTTTATTAGACCAATCAGGTGCCTTAGGCAGGCAAAGCAGCACATCTTGCATTGTTAAATAGATGCAGCATATACAAATGCAGCACATCTTTACATAGCTGAAGTAATATTCCACAGCACGGGCTTCTAGCCTAGCTGAGAATATGTGAGTTTCAGTTTCATGGAGAAACTGTGCCAAAGGAACAGAGTCATAGGGGACACCTGACACCTTTTCCTGTCACACACACACATACACACACACACACACACTCTCACAATCACACATGTGCACACACACGCGCGCGCGTGCACACACACACACAAACGCACAAATTCTGGCTATTAAATTTCTTAAATCTGGTATGTATTTTACACATATGCCTATCCCAAGTTGGACTATGACTCCTTCAGTTGATAATCCCATCCTAGCCTGTGGCTACCTTATTGGGTGGTATTAGTGTAGACCCCAGGGAAGGGCCAGTGGCAGGCAGTATGACCTAGAGCCTTAGTGAAGCAGCCCCCCCCCCAACTAATTAGAGAGTTAAGAGCCTCAGATGGGGATGGAGGCATAGGAACAGAGTGGATAGGGTCACTACTGACACATGCTAACCAGGAACAGGGGGAGAAATGGTGGGGTGAGCCGGCTCTCCTGAGCCAGAGGTCCCAAGTGCTGCCTGATGTGCTTAGCCTTTTCTGTGGAGACAGGCTCAGAGTACTCACAGCCCATCAGAATCTTGGCCTTGCTTCCAGGGAGTCTCGGTTTAGTGTCCAGACAGACAAGGCAACACGAAGTTAGCTTCACACAGCTTGGGAGGTCTTCTAAGCCCAGCGTGGGGCTACATAAACGGCCACTTAAGGTGGCCATGCATACCATTCTTACCCTTTTGAAAGTTTTAACACAGAGTCTTAAGCTCCTCAGGCTGGCCTTGAACTCTCAAGGCCTAGATTTTTTTTTTTTAATTGAGACACTCTATGTAGCCCTGGCTGTCTATTTAGTCCCAGCCTACTTTGCCTTCTCAGTGCTGAGATTCAAAGATCCACCTAGCATCCACCTAGCCTTGAAATTTTGATCCTTACCACACCTTTTTCTGTCTAGTTTCAACTCACCTAAAAGCATACAAGAAGTCTACACCTTCTTGGAAGCCTCATTCTCTTCCTCCACATCACCTCTCCCTCCCCCGCTCCCCTACACACACAATCCAGGAGCTCTTCAAATGGCTAAACCAGATTGGCTGGCCTTCCTCTACCCCCAAGCAGGGGCCATCCGAGGTCCCATTTGCGCACCTGCGACTGCCTCTCGCTACCACACGAGGGCGCATTGGCAAACCACGTCCCCCAGTGCTCTTCGACCCAGATCGGGTTTGGACGCTTGGCTTCTGGACCTGCTCAGGCTGCGGTGGCCTCTCCAGGCCGAAATCTTCGGTACTGAGCACAGCTTCTAAAGCTGTCACCTCTGTCATGTCTCTCCTGGGGTCTGGCCCTGCTATACCTGAAAATGTGGGTACACAGCTCTCCTGTTTTCCAGTCTTCAAACCCCTCCAGTACTCCAAGGTGGAGTAATCGGAAATCCAGCTGATTCTGTGGACTTCAGAACCCCCACTCCCCAGCCCCTAGGCTCTTTATCTTGTCTAGGAGAGTGCATATCTGGACCTCCCATCCACTGCAGGCTACACTGAGCCCCCCCTCCCGCTGGGAATTAAAACTCGGAAGTGAGACGGACGCGCGCTCCGCGCTCACAATCGATGAAAAGGCGGAGCACACACCAGCACACTTCTGTGGACCACTACCCACAGTCAGGATCAGGGTTTCTCCGGGTTTGAGGACCCCTGCATCTCGCCTCCGGAAGGACGCAGGCGCACGGTGGGCACACGGCTTGCACTGGCCCGCAGTGGAGGCGCAGGGCAGAGACGTTTGGGGATGACCAACTTTGTTGCGCTGCGGTTCCAGGGAGAGGTTAGGGAACAGTCAGCGTAAGACTGGGACTGGATGGCTGGGGTATGGTTTCCAGAAGGTTTGTGCGAGAAACGAAGAGGCCTGGAACGCACGCGGAGAGGTATTTGGAGGTGCCAAAGGGGCGGAGCCAGCGGGCAGGATTTGCGCCGCCGCCTGGGCAGCGTGCGCCCATGAAGCGAAGTTGCCAGGACAACGCGTTCTGGGCGGGGTCAATTTCGGGGCGGAGCCTGAGCCTAAGGGAGGTGAGAAGGGGCGTGGCCTTGAAGTCTGAGACGAAAGCGAGGTCGTGATTGGTGAATACTTCCTGCTCTGGGCGGGAACGGCGTGGCGGCTGGGGCCGGGCCTCGAAGAGGGCGTGGCTGTTTGGGGGGCGGGTCCCGAGAGCTGAAGCCGGAGGCGGAGACGTGGTTGGCGGGTCCTCGTGCCGGGCGGGCGCCCCACCGTAAGGGA